TTAGGCCAATAATTAGTATCTTACACAGTGTTTAAGCCAATAATTAGTATCTTACACAGTGTTCATGCCAATAATTAGTATCTTACACAGTGTTTAGGCCAATAATTAGTATCTTACACAGTGTTTAGGCCAATAATTAGTATCTTACACAGTGTTTAGGCCAATAATTAGTATCTTACACAGTGTTTAGGCCAATAATTAGTATCTTACACAGTGTTTAGGCCGATAATTGCAGTTGCTTCTTTTAAAAACATTTTATCTAGATAGATATAAGTTGTATGTTTTAAAAGTACACAGCCCACATTCTATGTTAGACTCTTTATACTTATTGTCAAAGCCATTATTAACCAACGCTAGTGTTTAAAACATTTGCATAGCATCTATTCAAGCAAGTACTGAGAAAATCTACATTAGTTATAAGTTAGAGTGTAAACGAGTAAAACCTTACAAGTATAATATGACGACAAGCAAGTACTGAGAAAATCTACATTAGTTATAAGTTAGAGTGTAAACGAGTAAAACCTTACAAGTATAATATGATGACAAGCAAGTACTGAGAAAATCTACATTAGTTATAAGTTAGAGTGTAAACGAGTAAAACCTTACAAGTATAATATGAGACAAGCAAGTACTGAGAAAATCTACATTAGTTATAAGTTAGAGTGTAAACGAGTAAAACCTTACAAGTATAATATGACGACAAGCAAGTACTGAGAAATCTACATTAGTTATAAGTTAGAGTGTAAACGAGTAAAACCTTACAAGTATAATATGACGACAAGCAAGTACTGAGAAATTCTACATTAGTTATAAGTTAGAGTGTAAACGAGTAAAACCTTACAAGTATAATATGACGATTTTTTGGTAAATCGAAAAAGTCTGTAAGATTTTAATTCTAGATCCAAAAGGGACAAACTAATATAATGAATTATAAGCTAACTTTATATGTATGAAAACAAAAACACTATGACCAGTTGTGTTCTACCGTTTTGGGTAATATCACCGCCCATATTGTCATATTAGATCTTTATGTGTCATCATTATTTAACACTTCGTCTTTAAACTTTATGAGGTGATAATTTCGACAAAATTTTGTCTTTTATTAGTATGAGACTTCTGCTGAATAACACAGAGAAAGTGATTAAATGTATAATAATATTATAACTATCGATAGGTGAAAAGTAACGAAATAGTTTATACAAGTAGCCCGAAAGTTAACTGATCGCAACAGTATGCTTAGAAAAGTGCACATTAACCATATTTTGTGCGTAATTTTATCGACTATAATATGTCGAAATAAATACAGTCGAAAGTAAACAAAAACATATTATAGAGTTCTGTTATTATTCTGCGTATAGATAAAAGTTGGAATTTTCCCGTGAAACCGATTATAATAGCTGTGTCTGTAGTGGTGGTATTGATCCTGATAGCTGTCTGCGCTACTCCCTTGCTGAAAACAAGGATTCTCACCCGCAGGAAAGGTAAGGCAAATGATATTCAAACACGTGTATTGTGATGCTGTGCTCACTGGAACATAATGAGGTTATTCTAATTTATGAAATGTCTTTAAAAACATTTATTTTTTCTCTTGGACCTTTTTTTAAACTCCAGCACAAAGTCAAGCGAGAAAGAAGAAGAAGAAATGTAAAGAAAACTCGTGGTAAGTTTATATAAAAAATAAAATATCAAAGTTAATAACTTTAATAAAAGCTGCAACGCTCTTGTGGAACGTGACGAAAATGTCGAGTATGTAGAATGACTGTATGAAGAACATTTTAATTGCTTAAACTCGATTTTCCTGTAAGTTACAGTTTTTATATAAACCGGCATATTTAAAGATAAGCATTATGAAGTTAAAGTAGACAGAGTGGTAGTGTTGTAAACTTTATATACAATCGCTTGGTAAAAGTAGAATCTGAAATCAGTTCCTTCCAAATATTTATTGGGGAAGGTGACTTCAATTCAAATTAAGCGATTTTAAAACTGACATTTACCCTACCAATAGAACGGCTTGGCATGGCCTAAGGGTTAGGGCACTCGACTCACAATTTGCGGGCGGTGAGTTCGAATCTTCTCATCGAACATGCTTGACCTTTCCCTATTGAGGGCGTTCTAATGTGATGGTCAATTCTACATTTCGTTGATAAACAATAGCCTAATAGTTGGTAGTGAGTGGTGTTGACTATGAACTATCACTTCAAAAGTAATGACGGATAGCGCGGATAGCCCTCGAGTAGCTTTGTGTGAAACTCAACAAAACTAAAAACAGACCTAATTCAAAATCACGGTTTTTACCTCACAAATATAGTTCATATGTAGTTTACTCTACCCACTAAACTCTACTTTTGTTTTCCAAATCGTACATTTCGTTAAATATAACCTAGCTAATATACTTTTCATCACACAGGTAATCATTTATCACATAATCAGCCCTTGGCATTTATCGAGGGTACTCGATATCTTCTTAATCATGGGATTCACAAGGAAACAATATACTGGGGCATTATTAATAGCAGTTGGAGAATAGAATCTTCAAGAAATCATATTTGGTGTATTCAGTAATTATCACATAATCAGCCCTTGGCATTTATCGAGGGTACTCGATATCTTCTTAATCATGCGATTCACAAGGAAACAATATACTGGAGCAGTATTAATAGCAGTTGGAGAACAGAATCTTCAAGAAATCATATTTGGTGTATTCAGTAATTATCACATAATCAGCCCTTGGCATTTATCGAGGGTACTCGATATCTTCTTAATCATGGGATTCACAAGGAAACAATATACTGGAGCAGTATTAATAGCAGTTGGAGAGTAGAATCTTCAAGAAATCATATTTGGTGTATTCAGTAATTATCACATAATCAGCCCTTGGCATTTATCGAGGGGACTCGATATCTTCTTAATCATGGGATTCACAAGGAAACAATATACTGGAGCAGTTGGAAAATAGAATATTCAAGAAATCGTATTTGGTGTATTCAGTAATTATCACATAATTAACATAGAATGGTTACATGTAGCATAATATTCAATAATTAACTATACCGATTGTTAAATTTCAAAGCTGATGAGGTGTTACCTATAGTATCAATCACGTTTGTATTTTCATATACGTCAAACTGAGACTTGAGTGTAACTGAAATGCCATGTAACATATACACGCCATTTCATCCTTTATCCAAATATGACTATCAACTTATATTACATTCTGTAAATTTCGTGTTAAAATATAGGCCTGTTGCAAATCATCTGATCCGATAAGTGATAATATTATTAAGTTATGTTTATTTTCTATACAATTCATGTACAAAAACATGGAAGTGGGATACAAATACACAAGTACGAACAACTGGATTCTCAAAACGATGTTAATTCACTTCCTGCAGAAAAAACTGTTTACTTTTGTTATTTTTCTTCAATATTGGTTTAAATGATGAATTTTTAAGCATAATAGGCTAGTGTATTATCATCATTTCTTCTAATTCACATTGAGACAAGAGTTGTGTTCATTCTTTTTTACTTCTGTTTTGTTTGTTTGTTTTTAAAAATTCGTGCAAAGCTATACAAAGTTTTAATATAGTTTATACACATTTGAGATTGTTTAGGCAGAATACGAGTCTTTTTTTTTTATATCCATGTGACTTTAAAAGTAATATACCCTTATACAACAGTCTTTAACATTGATACTAACTCATACTTGTATAAAACTCTATTCACGAAGTGTGAGCTAATATAGCGTCGTTGTAGCAATGCGTCATTTTAAATGTTATTAGAATATAACATCTCTCAATAATATCCTTATAGAACACGAGTCTTACCATACGTGCTAATTCATTTTCTCTGTTCTACTTTTGTTGATTAGATTTTTTTTCATAGAACACTATTCTTTTTTTTTTCTTTTTTTGGTTAAATAGAACATTTTACAAACAATAGTCAGAGAATTGACTTTTAGTTCCAAGTCCGAAGTTGGAGTTCATATTATTTCGCTTTATCGATATTTTCTGTCTTTTCTCGTCAATTTGTATTGCGTGAAAATCAATAAAACTATTACACTATTCTTCCAAAATCGCTATATTAAAACCTGAGATTTTTAAGTGAAAACTTTGCTTACTGACCCCTCTTGCTGGGAATCTTGATCCTTAGGTTACTTTAAGTAGTATATATATCAACAACATGAGACTTTCAAGAAATACGGAAAATTGATTTGTAAGAAATTGTATTTCTAAATGAGTAAGAGTAAAAATGGAAACGAGTATCGTCATTTAATACCAGATGGTAGTACAAGCTATAAAAACAGTATCTTTCTAGGTACAAATAACTGTAACAACTCCATCAGACACAACATAATTTGAGTGGTACTTTATTATATTAACACACGGCCAAAATAAGCTGTAAATCTATTCCTTGTGTAACATATACAATCTATAGGGACGCCGTGGTTAATTTTTCTTGACGAAATTATTTTGATCGACTGGAAACACTCAAACGGTCAAACAAACAGACCAAACGAAACGTAACACTTGCAGGCAGCACTGGGAAGTTGAAGGTAATGATACACTCAATGGTATCTAAACGAAAAACCTTTGTAACATCATGTTAAATCACACTGTGAGCCTGTAGAAAGTTCTGTATTTTGTGTGAACTGTGTGGCTCCCTCTGGAAATGTTCCATAAAATCATAGATTTCAAACATTTAAAGACATACTTACTGCTTTTAGTAAATTTTTGAAAACTAAAAAGAAAATACATTTTTAAAATAACTAATACAAACTTTACAGCAGTTATAAAAATTATTTATGATGTTTGAGTTTTTTCGAAATATCAGTTGGGTAACAACGACAGCGAAAATCTGAAGCTTTTGCAATTAACAAATCAATTTGCATTTCAGGTAATCTATATACAGTATTGAATAGTTTCATTTACACGCTTATGCACCAAAATAAAAGAGCAGTTATGAAAATGTGAACATTTATAATACACCTGTTTCTTTTACAGGAAGAAGAAAGTTTAGGGAGCAAGATCTGTAAGTGTGCAAATTTATTCTTTTTACAGATAGTTAAGTAGATGAACGTGTGGATTGTTTATGTTTTTATTGTGTTTCAATTCAAAGCTATCGGGTGTAAAATCACACTGAAACACTAAAGCGTCATAATTTTTCATTGACAGCAAATATTCCGAACCGCTAGAAAAAGAATTATTTGTCAGTGAAGACTTATCTAAGGATACAACATGTGAAGAGAAGTGTCCTGATGTAATTCCAGGTAAGTGACTGATAATGAAGGACTGTGTCAGTGAAGACGTATCTAAGGATACAACATGTGAAGAGAAGTGTCCTGATGTAATTCCAGGTAAGTGACTGATAATGAGGGACTGTGTCAGTGAAGACTTATCTAAGGATACAACATGTGAAGCGAAGTGTCCTGATGTAATTCCAGGTAAGTGACTGATAATGAGGGACTGTGTTAGTGAAGACGTATCTAAGGATACAACATGTGAAGAGAAGTGTCCTGATGTAATTCCAGGTAAGTGACTGGTAATGAGGGACTGTGTCAGTGAAGACGTATCTAAGGATACAACATTTGAAGAGAAGTGTCCTAATGTAATTCCAGGTAAGTGACTGATAATGAGGGACTGTGTCAGTGAAGACGTATCTAAGGATACAACATGTGAAGAGAAGTGTCCTAATGTAATTCCAGGTAAGTGATTGATAATGAGGGACTGAATTCATAAACAAGGACTATAAAAGATCTTGGATTAGGTCTAAACTTTAATCTGGCCAAGGTTCATAAAAAACGGCAATTGAAAAAAAAATAAGATCGTGAAATATCGATTAATGAACTAATCAAAACAACGTGATATTGCCACTTCTTAAGATTCCTCTTTATTTTGATGTATATTATTTCTAGAACTATAAATCCGTTTCCGTTTGTAATACTTCAGTTTTTTTTTCTATTAATTATACATGTGTTCCAAAATACTACCACGTACACATATCCATTCTAACGGTATTGAAACTAGCAAATGTTCCCGGCTATGCATGACACTTACTTCGTTGACTTCACGGGGATCTGTTCATACCTATTGATCACCTTCGTGGCTTTATCTGCGGACTTACAACGCTAGAATCCGGGTTTCGATACCCGTGTTGGGCAGAGCACAGATACCCATTGTGTAGCTTTGTGCTCAACGTAAAACAAATAAACACACAAACAAACAAAATCGTGACTTTAAGACTTTGGTAAATACTAAGTAGCAAGGAGTTAAAGTTGAAATGGCTACCAAAAGTGTAAAAAAGTTGTAGAAGTAATAAATCAAAGGCCATTAGAACATTTTATAGCATATCCAAGAAACTCTGAAGGTTCATGGTGCACAATGACATGGGTCTCTTGATGGTGTACTTTAGAACTCTTAAGGAAGCTATGTGTTTTTGTTGAATACTTACTGGTAATGTAGAAAAATTAGTATGAGCTGTAATGGACGAACATTTCATTACCAACAATACAATACAATCAATTTTAGTGGATTTCAAGCGATAAAGGTTTCTTCCATGTAACATTAGAAACATGAAATTGAACCAAGTGCCGTTATATTCTATTTTATTCATTTAACTTTTTTCGGTAGTTAGTCCAACATTATGGTAAATCTAATGATCTATGGGTGTTTCAAAGTTTAATACATCTAGAAAATTTCAAAAACAATAATAATAATTTTCTTACATTATACTTTAACAAAATTTCAACAATAATTTATTTTTGGTAAACAAGAACTTAAAACCAAGATATTTAATTTCATTGTTAGATTTCCCTAAAACACACTAGAAAAATTATTTAAATAGTTTTGTTCAAATCAAAATAAAGTAAGATATAGAGATATCCAATTATTCGGTCCAAAGTACCGGTTCCCCAGTGATTCGGCGATAAGTTCACGGACTTATATCGCTTAAATCCGGGATTTCTGTAGTGGACAAAGCGCAGATAGCCTATTATATAGCTTTGTGCTGAAAGAAATAACCGACCAAAGCACTTGTTACGGCATATCCTACTAGATGGCCTTCTTTCTGGTGCGTATCTCAATCTTTAGTTGTACCGGAACCCTAGAGGTCCCTGACTCGGCCTTTAGTTCGCGTGCTCATAATATGCCGTTCCAGTTGAAGTTTCCGATTCCATTCCTATTTTAAGATTATATTATCATTTATGATTTGTTTTTGTTTTTGAATTATGTGAATAATTATCCTTGCATAGCCATCCCTAATTTTGAACTGACAGACAATTCGAAAGGCAGTTTGTCAATATCATCCATTACCATTCATGGGCGACTCTTTTTTAATCGATAGCAGGATTTGACAGTCACTCTTGTAATATACCCATGTACTGAAAGTGTGGAGTGCATTTTTATGGCAATGAATCGTGAACCATGAATCCTGGGATTCACAGTCCGGGAGGTTACTCTGGAGGCCACGTTTATCCTATAGCTTATTTTGGTTATTCTGAAATGTGAAATAATAATATTCAGTTTATTTGGGGAAAAGTTGAAATTGTGATTAAGTGCAATAATTATATACAAGTTGATTACTTAAGTTAAACAGTCATACGTTATTTATACGAACTTCAAATTTATAGATTTCTTTGTTTATAATTCTGTAACACTAAAACTTGCAATACTCAATTTAAGTCCACCGAGCAAATACATAAGTAGTTCGGTAGAATGTCTCAATATTATTCTATCAATATATTTTCATTAGTAAATAACTAAATAAATGTTATGATTTTTAAAGATTCCTATAGTGCAGTTGACTTTTTACTCTATTGCTATTTTAATCATACCTTAAATTCTAAAATTATTTAAAGTATGTTGAGGTATGTTACTTGATTACAAACATTTTGAAGAAAGATTTTCAGCTCGAAAAAAAGCTAAGTTTCACTTACAATGTTTGATTTAACAGAAATGAAACACGTTGAAATCACTGTCAGCGATGCAGCGTCATCTAGCGCCACTGAAATACATTTATTCCCGGAAACTTCTTCTGGCCAATATCTTATACAAGATTCTTCCACGAAGAAACTAAGACAATTGGTAAGTTTTGCTTTTTTTTTATTGGTTGTAGTTAAGCACAAAGTTATACGATGGACTATTTGTGCTATGTCCACAACGGGTATCAAGACCGGTTTTGGCTTTATAAGCCTTTAGGCTTACCTATGAGCCACTAGGAGGGCTCAGTTGGTAAATTAAAAAAATGTTTGAAGTAAGAAAAAACATTCATTGAATTATTTATTTAGTATACTTGGAGTAAAATATTGTGTATTATTATTTTAATTTAAATCTCTTTGAACTTCTTTTCCTTGATCTTTTAATTTCTCTACCCATTTCCCTCAATAATACTTCTTCGAATTTTACTTCTTGCATGATTATTTTCCCTTTCGGCTTTCTCTTGCACATGAGTGTATCTGATTTTGTGAAATGTTTGTTTCTTATTTTATCAAATGCAACATTAACAGTTACCTTAAATACAAGACTGTGTACAAATATGTGGCTGATACAATATTTATTTACTTCTGTTACGTCTCTGGTCATTAATTAATTACTCATAAAAATTCTTTCC